CTGTGTCATTTTGGTCTATTGTGGAGAGATATCTCATTGGATACCACATCTTCTACTTATATATAAATCTTGTGTTGATTGAAAAAAACAAAATGTATACCCAGAATGACTTTAAAGACCTACTTCTTTTTTTTTATTAATGTTTTGATTTATTTTTGAAACATGCAAAACATTATACTATATATATAGAGAGAGAGATATAACAGGATTGCAGCAGTCCCTGCCATTTTGTCATGTAGATTAGACTGTTGGTTTTCCTGTTTGAATGGTTTTACACAGTCATTTTGGGGCCCTTTATAGCTTGCTGTTTGGTGTGAGCCAAGGCTCCGTGTTGAAGGCCGTACTTTGACCTATAATGTTTACTTTTTACAAATTATGACTTGGATGGAAAGTTGTCTCATTGGCACTCATACCACGTCTTCTTATATCTATTTGGTATTACAGAAGGAAATCAACTAAATTTGCTTTCAGTTTCCAGGAAATATTTCAAACGAGAAAAGAAAAAAAAATATTAGTAATTTCCTATGTCAATATTTTGCATTCTATCAACAAATTAAGCAACGTAGTAAGAATGGTAATTACAATCGATCGATATTTATCCGTCGTCATCTGTGAAACAGATATTCCATAACGGTCAACCAACTCGTGATGGCGTCTGTAAAATTTACGAAGTGATAATTTCTACTTCACCACTTGGAACACTTGGTTTGATAGCTTCCTTGTGAGCAGCAACCATCTATCAATGAAATCATGATAGGAAAACACAAGACCTGGAATATCGTATCAACTAGGAGATATATACTCCGTATTCGGGCGCAGCTGAAATGTTGCTACATAGAAATAGAACATTCCGAATTGGGAAGCTAAAATCATCTCTTTTGTCTGCAAGTTTCGTCTTCAACCGACCTTCTTTGTCAGTTTCCTCAATCGTCAATCTTAAGGCCTGTTGGCACGAATTTTCCCAATGTGCAGGTTTTCTCTTTTTTGTGCGTTTTTCCAGGCGTATTTTCTGCTCTGTGCTTTAAATTAGTATGCGCTGGTTAAGATTGGGATTGAGGAACAGCAGTATCAAATCTGCCTGTTCTGTCAATGTAATGTGCCACTGTTTGTAGTTTGGCTTTTGTCTATTCGGTGTTCTCGCCGTCTAGTCTCGTTAGCATAGTAGCTAAATTCAGGTTTCTGATCCCGACCTCTTTGGATATTTGTTGTAACATATCTTCTCGTTCGTTCTCATAGCAGGGACACTCCAGAAGGAAATGGTGAGGTGTTTCAGGTGCTCCACAGTTGCATGACTCTATGGCGTTGGTTTGGCCTCGGTTCCTGTAGTAGTTGAGTTCTATATAGACAGTAGATGTCAGTCAGGATATGAGGCAGACTTAACTGTATCTGTTGTATCTTTTATCGCAAGTTCGAAGTGATCACTAAAGTAAAGTAGATGCAGATGCCATACATGTTTGCATGCATATGTATGGGGCAGATGATGACTATATTTTTGGTAGTTTAGTGCCTTGTTTCTTCATATGTCTTCAGTCCCTCTTGAAGAGCCAGAGATCGTCGAGGAATCATTTGACATTTACATGAATATAATAGCGGCACCTGACATGAAAGTCGTAGGCTTCTTCATTTGGGCATTAAAAAATGCTATTCGGTTTTTAATTGTGTTCAATAAGAAAAATTTTATTTTAATTACCAGTTAGTGACGGATCATTTTGATAATTATGTTGCAATCATTGTATATTTACCATAATATCTATATCTAGATTATATACACCCAATTTGGCTAACGACCAAATTGGTGTATTTAATACTTATGGCCAAGTAATTATATTCTGCCTCGGCGACTTTTGTGTAGCTAAATTTTACATCACTAGTTTAGACCAATTAAAATATTATTTTAGTTAACATTTTACGATACTTAGTATATAAAGAAAAAGTATGGATAATATTCAGTTTTTTCTATTTGTGCTAAAATATCATGCAGCTTAAATGAAGAGAAAAAGTTGGTTGTGTATGTACGTATGTGTATGCCGTGTACAAACAAAGCACCTTATATTTTTTCAATATCTTTTCCCTTTTTTAAATCGGTTTAGATAACCGTAAATCATAGGATAAATGGTGACCGATTTATATTAGGTGGTCATCATATGTGTGATACATGCCTACATTTTTAATAAACTCGGAAATAAACACATTTATTCTAAAACCAGTTGATGGCATGATACGGGTTTGTTCTTCTCATATATTTTATGATGGTATGATACTAAACACCTCACGGGAGGGATTGTACTTAATATTCATATGATGAAGATATAATCTTTCAATCAGTTTAATTGAGGTCTGGAGCTGGCAATGTCGGTAACTGCTAGTAGTCGTTTGGTAATGTATGTATCATTGTCATTTTACTTAGTTACCGATTCTGACATCGGACTCGGACTTCTTTTAAACTGAGTTTTACTGTTCGTATCGCTGTGTACAGTACAGTCATTACAACTGAGAGGTAATATTAGGGTAATAATTAACAGGGACAGTACAGTCATGACATCTGAGAGATAATATCAGGGTAGTAATTAACAGGGACAGTACAGTCATTTCAACTGAGAGATAAATATCTGGGCAGTAAGTAACAGTGACAGTACAGTCATTACAACTGAGAGATGATATAGGGTAGTAATTAACAGGGACAGTACAGTCATTACAACTGAGAGATAATATCAGGGTAGAAATTAATAGGGACAGTACAGTCATTATAACTGAGAGATACTATAAGGGTAGTAATTAACAGGGACCGTACAGTCTTTACAACTGAGAGATAATATCAGGGTATTAATTAACAGGGACAGTACAGTCATTACAACTGAAAGATAATATCAGGGTATTAATTAACAGGGACAGTACAGTCATTACAACTGAGAGATAATATTAGGGTAGTAATTAACAGGGACAGTACAGTCATTACAACTGAGAAATAATAGCAGGGTAGTAATTAACAGGGACAGTACAGTCATTATAACTGAGAGATAACATCTGGGTAGTAATTAACAGGGACAGTACAATCATTACAACTGAGAGATAACATCAGGGTAGTAATTTACAGGGACAGTACAGTCATTACAACTGAGAGATAATATCAGGGTAGTAATTAACAGGGACAGTACAGTCATTACAACTGAGAGATAATATTAGGGTAGTAATTAACAGGGACAGTACAGTCATTACAACTGAGGGATAATATCTGGGTAGTAATTAACAGGGACAGTACAGTCATTACAACTGAGAGATAATATTAGGGTAGTAATTAACAGGGACAGTACAGTCATTACAACTGAGGGATAATATTAGGGTAGTAATTAACAGGGACAGTACAGTCATTACAACTGAGGGATAATATCAGGGTAGTAATTTACAGGGACAGTACAGTCATTACAACTGAGGGATATTATCAGGGTAGTAATTTACAGGGACAGTACAGTCATTATAGTTTTCATTGCTATCATCATGTTTTAAAGTCTTGTAGTCCTACTGTTGGGGCAATAATTTCTCCACAGATCAGAATTTCTCCCTGAAAGCTTTACTACAAAACTTCATTTTAAAGCTTGGCAAATATTTATTCTGAATCAGTCAGGAGCCTGTTGTTCAGTGGCTGTCGTTTGTTGGTGTGGTTTAAATGTGTTTCTCGTTTTTTATACAGATTAGGCCGTTGGTTTTCCTGGTTGAATTGTTTTACACTAGTCATTTTGAGGCCCTTAATAGCTTGCTGTTCGGTGTGAGCCAAGGCTCCATGTTGAAAGCCGTACTTTGACCTATAATTGTTAACTTTTTATACATTGTGACTTGGATGGAGAGTTGTCTCACTGGCACTCATACCACATGTTCTTATTTTTATTTATGAAATGAATGCTTCTTTTGGAGTGTAAAGGTGTTGACCGAAGCACATGTAGCGCTTCATTCTAAAGAGTGTGCACGATCAACATTTTTACCCCCCCCCCCCCCCCCTAATAAAATTACAAAAAGAAGTATTCACTTCTTATAATTACATTTTTATGTTAATAAGACCATGAAAAAAAAAAAGATTTATCAAGTTTTTTGTTTTTTTTTATTACATGTGCACTTTTTGTGGAAGCACATGTCATCACGAATGTAACATTTCATTTTGTTATGAAGGTTAATTTTTTAAAGACGCGCGATTATTGCTATCCAATCAAACTTTGAAATGCGAAGTACTAGTCATATCGAATATGGTAATTTTCCGACGATATTTCGGGACTGAAAGAAAATGACCTGCATTATCGAATAGAAGAGCCATATGTATACAGACAGTTTAAGTAATAGTTTTCAATTATGTAACAAACGATAAAAGGTCTATTTCTGCTTAATATTTACATACCATACAGATATTTTGAAAAATGTAAGAAGTAATCTTGAAATTAATACAATTTATTTCAAAGCTTCTTTATACAAATTAAGTTCGTCAGCAATCGAAATAAAGATGTTTATCGTTATTTTACGAAATTGTCCTTTGATCTTACTGACTGATAATTTCCTTTCTCAGCACAGTAGAGTGATATGAAAAATTATCGCTAGAAACTAAGGGCGCACGTGGCGTTGTCAATGAAATTAACAACGTCGTCATAGGTAAAATAGCGATAAACAGATTATCATTGGTCATTTCAACTCGATTGCTTTTCTCATTTTCGCCGTACTGGCTCAAGCGAGAAAATCAATCTCGTTGAGATGACTAACGATAATTTATAAGTATGGTGAAAAACAATTGTTTTGATTAAACTGTCCAAGTAATTCGGTTTGGTCACTGAATTAATTTGATTAATTATTTGATTTTTTTAGGGGAAATGATAGACTGGGATCCCGCTATGTATAATCACCTTGTTCTATACATAGACAGGTGGAGACCGACTCCATTTTAGTACTTTTTTTAACTAATTACTGCGCAGTCAGTCGCGCAGGAGATTCCGGAAGTTCTATAGGAATTTCCTTATGTCATGAATACAGCTGTCAGATAGAACGTCTGCTACAATGAAGATCGACAATGTAACGCATAAGCACATTTAAATGATATCTTCACAGAAGAATTGAATACCATGTAAAAATATATATAAATATCATTACTATTAAAAAAAGATCTACAAAAAAAATGAGGATTTATATAGATATTTTTTTATTTTTGGCAGTGGCTATTTTGCCGGCACCGGCAAAATAGCAAATATGCTGGCCTATATTGCCGGCACTGATTAAAATATCTCTTAATTAAGTCGAATTTTAATTCAAGCCGGCAAAATAGCATATTTCTATAAAAATGGCTATTTTACCGGCACCAGCAATATATATTATATATTAATAGTGAACTTGTTATTTTGCCTATGGAAGTGTAATATTTACTTGGAAAGATCTATGAAAATGTGCAGTAAGACATAAAGCTTTATTTAGAGTCGGTATATGCAATACAAGTACAAACATAAGCTCTGAAGAGCTTTTAAAACCGACAGAGCAACAATAAAACAAACCATACATATCAAGTCATGCACACATAAATTAAACATATAAAGCAAGAGTTCATATCAGTACATGCAGTATGGAAACATGCAGCACAAAAGTTCTTTAAGCATCTTACAAGTTCAACACACACTGAAACATGCACTTATGAGATAAAAACTCAAAAGCAAAAATAAAATGGTTTGCAATTTAAAAGCACATATATATTAGGTAAACAACTAAAATTAGCACAAAGCAGCAGAAGTACTATAGTAAAGATAACATAAAAGAATCAAATAATTACTGATATACCAGTATTTAAATAAGAAAACAGCCAACAATATTTGAGATACATGTTATTCCTTAAAAACTTTAAACATCTATCAGTCAAAGTGAAAACATCAGTTCCACCTCAGTAAAGGAACAGGCATATAAATCTTTAGTCAGACCATCACTAGAATATGCCTGTTCAGTCTGGGACCCTTAATACTTTACTGAGGATATAAACAAAATAGAAAAAGTACAAAAAAGGGCTACTAGATTTGTCACTAACCAACACAGAAACACCTCAAGCGTTAGTGACATGATAGATCACTTAAAATGGAGAGACCTCGCCCACAGAAGAACAGATGCACGCCTGGTCATGTTTTATAAAATCACATATCATCTCATGCGATCACAACAACAGACAGACTAATTCAACCGCTCAGACAGTCCCGGAACATGCACACACTCTCATATCAAATTCCATCCTGCAGAACAAAAATAAGGCAACAATCATTTTTTCCACGAACAATTAAAAACAGGAACAGCCTTCCTCTGAGTATTGTGATGAGCAACTCTATAGTGTTGTTCAAAGCAGCAGTCTCAACCGACACCTACAGTCATGCAGTAAATTCATCATGTGTAAATAGTTTTATCTTAATATTAAAAAAATAATAAGTTAAAAATATGCACTGCCATTATGTAAAAATGTCATTATCAATTTTTTTGTTATTAATTTCAAATTTGTAAATTTTTCACTGTATATATGTCTTCACAAAGCAATGCGCAGTACAAGTGACAAAAACTTCAACGTGTTGAAGGCGGTCATTACATAGTAGAAGTAGAAGAAAATAGGAATTTATAATTAACAAGATAAAAATTAATATTGAGCATCCATTTGTAGCAACGAAATCATATCTATAATCTAGACATGTAGCTGAAATAATTTCTAAAATCAGTCAAATTAAATTCTACATGTGTGCATAAGAATTAATTCTAAGATTTTTTAACAGTATGTTATAAAAAAAATACACGTTAAAAATCTCATTGCAAATTTATTTTGATAAGACATTATACAATATAACATAAAGTCAATCACATACATGTAGCTTAAAATATCAAAAATGTTTAAATTAATATCTTGCTTTTGAAATAATAGTCAGTTCTTTGAGTTGCATGTATGTGTTAACAAAAAATATAACTATTTTTATATAAATATGCTATTTTGCCAGCTTGTATTAAGATAATCAGTGCCGGCAAAATAGCCACTGCCTTTATTTTTACCAATTTAAGTACCATACAAACAGACAACAGTCTACAGTTCGGGGAATGTTAGATTATAATTTAAAGGTTTCCGAAGTCAGAATTTTATCAAAGAAATTTGTCTTTGCTGCTTAAAACAAGAAAGATCAGGATTAAATAGAGAATATATTTTTAAATGTTCAAAATAACATACTAATATTAAAACAAAATGAAGGGAGTCAGAAAGTCAAACATGTCTAGTCTTTAACTTGAAATGATAAAATCTATAGATTGCCAGATGTCATAAATGCATATTCTTCAGTGTCTTTTGTTTATAAACTTTTACAAACTCTACTCCTGACTGCTCCCAAATTTTTCTTTTTTGTATTTTTTTTCCAATTATTTCTTAACACTGAGCTGAGAAACAACAACAAATAAACAACAATTTCAACATGTATCTAAATGTTGAGGTACATGCAAATCTCATTTTTTTTACAATGTAGGTACCATTGTCTGTTTATTGTGGTCTGATGAAACTATATTTCATATAATTATTTCAACCAAATTCGAGGCCATATTAATTTTAAGTATAAAAAAGAAGATGTGGTATGATTGCCAATGAGACAACTCTCCACAAGAGACCAAATGACACAGAAATTAACTAACAAAGAAACAAAACAAAAATAAAGAAACTAACAACAAAGTGCCAAGATATAAAGGGGAACAAAAAATAAACAGTCACAACAAACATTTTCAAATTCAATTTATAAAATATAACACAGCCTCCTTTGTAGAAAGCAGTATAATATCACATATATTATACATGTAAGTTGTTTCATCTCTAACGAACTAACAAGGTGACCATTGGAAATTTTATCTCATCTAAAACAAATAAATAATTATGTAAAATACTGTCTTTTTTAAGATTTCATCATTTTCCCGGCTAGCTAGTTTCTTCAAGTTCATAACTCTTTCTTCTTTAGGTAAACAAAATTTTGACCTCTGTTTCCCAGTATTTTGATTTAAAGAATTGATGAAACTTTCTCTAAACCAAAATAAATGGAACATTCAAGTAAATATAGACTTTCAAATTCTTAAGTACATAGTAGTTCATTTCTGGATTTATGTTTATACCAACCCTTTCCCCCAATTGCAGATTTCATTCAAGGCCCTTTTATTTGTAAGTAGCTCTATCATCTATCTTCAAAACAAATACCATTATGAAACCATTAATCAAAAGTTTTCAATAAAATGATAGATTTCAATCATACACATACATGTACTAGTAATCTTCTCTTGGTTAGACAATGCAGAAAGTTTTCTTTTAACTAGACTGTTTTAAACTAAAAAATAAAAAACATAAACGTTTTTTCTGATATCAAATTTAATTCCCTGTACACTGGACACAATATGAAATATACAGCATAAGGGATATAACTCTATTCATATTTACCTATTTCTAATACTGTGTTGACTTATTATAGATATGTAAGCATGTCCTTTGTTTACATATTTATTTTTATTTATATATTTATAGGAATTTATTGGTGTATAAACTCTACCAATTCACTCACAAACAAATAAAAGTCCTAAAGACTTTTATGATATGTTTGTGAGTGACTTGGTCCAGTTTATTATAGGATTAAACACATTTTTCTAGAGGTTATTGATGTGTAAACCGGAGCGATTAACTCACAAACTGAATAAAAGTCCGAAATTCTTAAAATAGGTGATAAGGAATTTATTTTTCCACACTCATAACCTCTATCACACGTAAATTTATATATTTGTGTCATTGAATTGGCCTGGTGCATGAATATATTTGTTGGTTAACGCAAAAATATGTACTCAATGAAATTTGCTCTCTGATTTAAATTAACTACAAAAACTCTTTTTTAGCATTCAAATGAATGTTTTGTGTTTATTGTTTAATTTAATGATTACAGCATGCATTACACCTGTTTCTTAGCCTTGTAAAAATACAGCTGATATTTAATTACACTAAACCATTAATGAATATGTTAATACGCTGCAGCCTTGCTAAATATATCGCTGTTAAAACAATGAAAAATATTTGCAATTAAATATAAGGAACTATTTTTCTTTTTAAATGCTCAATCGTCATAAAATCAATATTTTTTTTACAGATGGAAAGCTGACATCAAGCAGCAATTAGAACGACAAGACAAAACATGATGGACCACTATTAAGTAAATGAGTACAACATATATTAATGTAAGTAAAAATAGTAATGGTCCCAAAATTGAGTCATGGAAGAAGATTTCTGGATAATATAGTCCTCAAGTATAAAAATATGTAGATGTGGTATGATTGCCAATGAGACAAATATCTGCCAAAGACATGAGAAAACCATCTTAATATGACTGGTATTAGCTCATTTTACTGGAAAAAAATACACACTTCATGTACAAAATATACTAGAAGCGCTAAGCTTTGCTGGTTCCAATGTAGAATTATTCATAGAATTTTAGGAACTGATTCACCACTTTACAAGATGAAAATAAATAGTAGCAACATATATATTTTTGCAAAGAAGAACAATACTATATTTACTGAAAACAAAGTTAAAAAAAGTATTGCCAAATTTGAATGCTTTATAAAATTATTTAAAGGAACACAAGAACTCAGAGAAATACATTTCATTTAACTCTCTGTAGAGGAATATGATAAATCTCAAAAATTTAGTGGTATCTTCTTAATCTATCATGTCAACCTTAGACTGGTTTGCTTTTCTTCCTTGTCTGCACCCTCAACTCTAATTAAAAATATGATACCAAAAACTTTATTGTTGCTGCCCTACATGCCAATGGCATACCGGGCAGTAAGTAAGTAATATAAATAAAGCAAAAATTTATATGTGCACCTGTTCATTGAATAAAAATAGGTTAATTGCAGGAGAATTTATCCTGATTTTTTTATATTACATATTATTATATTCAAATTCAATTATTAGGACAATATCAACCAAATATATTTATATATTTAATCTAAAACTGTGAAAAATATAAGGACTATAAAGCAACTAAAAAAAAATTTATTAGGTCAATGGTATAAGGGAGATAATTCCAATTGATGAAAAAAAAAATTGGACTAAAATTTATTCCGACAAAATCAGCCAATCAAATTGCGAGAAATTACTCTAAATCAGGGTAACATATTTTATCCTGCAATCAGCCAACTTTTATTAAATATTTTTATTTATAGATGTGAAGAGACTTTTAGCACCAACCTGAACAACAAAACAAACATGAATTATATATGTAGATTTTGAAATTTAACAAAGACCAAGGTAAGTTCAAATTGTGCCGCAGTTTGAACATCAATAAAAAATAAAGGGACAGAATAATGAAATATATTAAACCAGCTTCTTTTTATTGATATTAAAAAAAAATCATGTTTATTTGAAAATCATGAATTTTAAGGAGTAGATTATGGTACATTATCGTCAAGTATGCTATCAACACTGCTATAAAAATAGGAGATGTGGTATGATTGCCAATGAGACAATTATCCACCAAAGTTCAAATGAAGTCGATGTAAGTAATTACATGCAACCGTACAGCCTTCAACTATGAGAAAAACCCATACCTTATGGTGGGCTATAAAAGAATATTGCTTCTTTGTCTAATGGAATAAATAAAGACAGTGCATGTATGTGGTCATTGTTTGAAAATAAAAGCTATATTGGCAACGGTTACAAAACTTGAAAAAAAGGAACCTCTAGTAGGTGCAGGATAAAAACACAATATACTTTAATTGTTAAAATTTATTTGTATGAGCTTGAGGACCATATTTTAAATTAAGTAATACAGATGAAATAAGCAACATTTACACACTATCTCAAAGATTTAGTGGTGTCTTCTTAAGCTATCATGTCCATCTTAAACTGGTTTACTTTTCTTCCTTGTCTGCACCCTCAACTCGTATTAAAAATATGATACCAAAAACTTTATTTGTCCAGTAAATAAAAAAAACAAACATTTATATGTGCACCTGTTAATTGAATAAAAATTGGTTGATTGCAGGATAAAATATTGTATTAAATATTTTTATTTATAGATGTGAAGAGACTTTAAGCACCAACCTGAACAACAAGACAAAAATGAATTATATATGTAGATTTTGAAATTTAACAAAGACCAAGGTAAGTTCAAATTGTGCCGCAGTTTGAACATCAATAAAAAAAATAAAGGGACAGAATAATGAAATATATTAAACCAGCTTCTTTTTATTGATATTAAAAAAAAATCATGGTTATTTGAAAATCAAGAATTTTAAGGAGTAGATAATGGAACATTTTTGTCAAGTATGCTATCAACACTGCTATAAAAATAGGAGATGTGGTATGATTGCCAATGAGACAACTATCCACCAAAGTTCAAATGAAGTCGATGTAAGCAATTACATGCAACCGTACAGCCTTCAACTATGAGAAAAACCCATACCTTATGGTGGGCTATAAAAGAATATTGCTTCTTTGTCTAATGGAATAAATAAAGACAGTGCATGTATGTGGTTATTGTTTGAAAATAAAAGCTATATTGGCAACTGTTACAAAACTAGAAAAAAGGGAACCTCTAGTAGGTGCAGGATAAAAACACAATATACTTTAATTGTTAAAATTTATTTGTATGAGCTTGAGGACCATATTTTAAATTAAGTAATACAGATGAAATAAGCAACATTTACACACTATCTCAAAGATTTAGTGGTGTCTTCTTAAGCTATCATGTCCATCTTAGACTGGTTTACTTTTCTTCCTTGTCTGCACCCTCAACTCTAATTAAAAATATGATACCAAAAACTTTATTTGTCCAGTAAATAAAAAAAACAAACATTTATATGTGCACCTGTTAACTGAATAAAAATTGGTTGATTGCAGGATAAAATATTGTATTAAATATTTTTATTTATAGATGTGAAGAGACTTTTAGCACCAACCTGAACAACAAAACAAACATGAATTATATATGTAGATTTTGAAATTTAACAAAGACCAAGGTCAGTTCAATTTGTGCCGCAGTTTGAACATCAATAAAAAATAAAGGGACAGAATAATGAAATATATTAAACCAGCTTCTTTTTATTGATATTAAAGAAAAATCATGTTTATTTGAAAATCATGAATTTTAAGGAGTAGATTATGGTCGTTATCGTCAAGTATGCTATCAACACTACTATAAAAATAGGAGATGTGGTATGATTGCCAATGAGACAACTATCCACCAAAGTTCAAATGAAGTTGATGTAAGCAGTTACATGCAACCGTACAGCCTTCAACTATGAGAAAAACCCATACCTTATGGTGGGCTATAAAAGAACATTACTTCTTTGTCTAATGGAATAAATAAAGACATTGCATGTATGTGGTCATTGTTTGAAAATAAAAGCTATATTGGCAACGGTTACAAAACTTGAAAAAAGGGAACCTCTAATAGGTGCAGGATAAAAACACAATATACTTTAATTGTTAAAATTTATTTGTATGAGCTTGAGGACCATATTTTAAATTAAGTAATACAGATGAAATGAGCAACATTTACACAATATCTCAAAGATTTAGTGGTGTCTTCTTAAGCTATCATGTCCATCTTAGACTGGTTTACTTTTCTTCCTTGTCTGCACCCTCAACTCTAATTAAAAATATGATACCAAAAACTTTATTTGTCCAGTAAATAAAAAAAAACAAACATTTATATGTGCACCTGTTAATTGAATAAAAATTGGTTGATTGCAGGATAAAATATTGTATTAAATATTTTTATTTATAGATGTGAAGAGACTTTTAGCACCAACGTGAACAACAAAACAAACATGAATTATATATGTAGATTTTGAAATTTAACAAAGACCAAGGTCAGTTCAATTTGTGCCGCAGTTTGAACATCAATAAAAAATAAAGGGACAGAATAATGAAATATATTAAACCAGCTTCTTTTTATTGATATTAAAAAAAAATCATGTTTATTTGAAAATCATGAATTTTAAGGAGTAGATTATGGTACATTATCGTCAAGTATGCTATCAACACTGCTATAAAAATAGGAGATGTGGTATGATTGCCAATGAGACAACTATCCACCAAAGTTCAAATGAAGTTGTTGTAAGCAGTTACATGCAACCGTACAGCCTTCAACTATGAGAAAAACCCATACCTTATGGTGGGCTATACAAGAATATTGCTTCTTTGTGTAATGGAATAAATAAAGACAGTACATGTATGTGGTCATTGCTTCAAATTAAAAGCTATATGGCTGTTGATGGATACTTATACATCCCAATTACACACCTCAACTACTTTGTAAATTGCATATCCCTTTCGATTTCATGTAATACAGGCTTTTCAGAGTTTACAGGAAAATTGTATTAATGATGCATACTTTTAATCTTTCCTTTATACAGTTGACTTCCGACACCAAAAGGATGAATGTAGGCCAAGGTACACCTATCAAGCAGAGAGAATGTGATAGAGATATTTGTTTAGTGTGTGGAAAATTTGCAAAGGAGGCCCGTAGAGTAGAAACCATCCGAAAGTTAAAAGGGAAAGATTATTGTTTAAAAGATTTATTGAAGAAATATGGTGGAATTAATGTTGAAAGTGGGACAGTATGTAGAAAATGCAGTAAAAAAGTTGACACTCTTCACAAAAAGAATACTGATTTCTACAATGAATGCCAAAAAAATGCTGGAATGTCGAAACGAATGGCTTCGTCACCACATATTAATCCACCAAAAAGAATAAATATGTCAACACCCAAACCATCTACTCAATATGCAACAGTTTTCAGTGAAAGTGAAGATGAAGATGACATTTCATTCATTGGTTTACATTTATCAGATGAAGGTAATTAATTTAAAATATATGTTTACTTAAACCTGGCAACAATGAGTTGGGTGGTGCCCAATGAAACCCTTGCAAAATTGCAGATAATACAGATTCTTTACTATAAAGTTTCTGGGGGACCAGGAACCATTGTAAATACATATAATTGTAATTTTGTATAACTATTAATTAATTACTTTAAAATTGAATTATTATGCACAATAGCTAACTAAGATTATTAAAAAATTAAGAATTAATTTATGGTAGCCACGATATTGTGCTGGTTTAACTTTTGACATTGTACCTTGACCAAGGGATAACAATTTTGGAAAAACAACAACAAATAGTGGACCGTACATCACCTTATCAATAACCAATTTTTCCATTTGCTGCCAAGCAGTGTTCGTTTATTAACATGGATACGCTATGATGAAATCTTTTCAAATTTAGATATGTGGTTTCCTGTGACGAAATGTACGTAAAGTTCTTTTTCACGATTTTAGCTTTCAGTAGCGAAATGCAATATTTATGATACTATTTACTTTTATTTTGAGTTATTTCCCTTTGCTCAGAAATGGTAAAATTAATAATTTTATGGATAGATTGTCAAAAGTGATACTTATAATATGATCTATTTTTATTTATGAGTAATTTTAGTTTTGAACAGGAATGGTGTAATTAATAAGTATATGGATAGGTACATGTAGTATATCAAGGATTATATCTTCAAATGATTTTAGACAGGAGTTGTAAAAAGATTGTTATGTGGTTTTTTTGTGTGTGTGTTAATGTTTAATTTTTACTTGATCCTGTTTGAGTTTCAAGATTTGCAAATATCATTTTCATGCAGGAAGTTCTGGTTTGCTGTCACTCTGACAGACTCTTGTTCTCAATCTTATATAGTAACAATGCAATTTAAGAGGCAAATCACCAGAAAACTCATAAAAACAACAATCAACCAAAGCAGACAACATTCAAACATTCTAAAGGAGTAAACAAAATCCTATGAAAATAAGGTGATATCAGATGTTGTGGAAGGGTGAGCACATCCTGTTTTACATGTAACACCTGTCCTGTTTCTTTCCAGTATCAAAACTGGTGTGAGGTCTCGTACAAGACTTAAATTAACTTATCTAAGAATATCAGTTAAATTCTGTTTGACAGGCACAATGTGTATGACAGTAATAATCTTATTTTAAAATTTGGTTTTATGAATCAACATTTTCCTATTTTGAAAACAGTTTTATTAATTGGCACAAATTGTATGCTCTTCTTTATTTTTCCATTTCACTTTTTAAATAGATACAGAAACAGACCAAGTACATGTATCAGGTATCCTATCTTTACAGTCTGCATCATCATTATCAGCATCATCTTCTCATCAACTTGCATTAGATTCATTGACTTCTACTGCTACATCTGAATCAGCAACATCCATCCAAACAGCTTCTATGACATCTATGGCTTCTTCAGAGTCTGTAGTATCAAATCTAACATCTTCATTGGCTTCATCTGATTCTGCAACATCAAATCAAACAGGTTCATGTTCAACATCTGTTGATCATATGTATTCCAAAAATAACGAGAAATCTTCAATTGTAAAATCTAAATGTAAAGAAGATAAACAAAGATCAACAATTTCAGCACCCATAGATCATGATTACATTGTATCAAAGCCTACTCCTGTTGTGAAAAAATTTAATGGTAGAGAAAATCATGGATTTTAAAAACAATTTAGATATCAATGCAAAAACAATTATGAAAGAAGCAGACACCGAAATTCTCATGTCAGTCATTAAAACAGAAAACAAAAGAGAAATTATCAAACAACTTCTCACAACTGAGGGTTTTAAAGAGAACATTTTGTGCCTTTTTATGGAAGAAATGAATTTAATGTCCAATCTTCTAAGAAATAGGAAACTATTTTACGTCAGTGAATTGATGAAAAAAAAACCAGAGGATTTGAAATCTTTTAAATGGAATGAAATTATTAGCGAGTTCATGGTAAAGTTTCCAACAGTTTTCAGTTTAATATTAACCATGTTCTTAACACCAGAGGACATGGAGAATAAAGAGAAAATAGAAGCTATTATTCCAAGAATAGGAATGGTTTACAGCATGCTAATGCAGGGAAGAAACAAAGAGCTCAGCAGAATTCAACGTGTTACATCACTGTTTTTGTTTGACAACATATGTGATCAAAAGGTAAATAAATGATTTATAGGTTTAATACTAATAATGTAATGGGAATTCATCTTTGATTCCTATATTATGCAATGGTGATCATTCCAGTATTGTTCTTTCTAGCTGTTATACTGGAAATTCTTAAACAAGAAGATGGAGAATATACCTTGGTGTTGATGAAATAAAAATTTAGTATGATGGCCAATGAGACAACTCTCCACAAGAGACCAAATGGCACCTTTATTAACAACTTTAGGTCAGGATACAGCCTTCAACAATGAGCAATTTACAATACCTCAAAGTCTCCACTCCAATTTTTATAAATACTAAAAACCTAAAATCATTAATGAAATTATAAATCTATAAATAATTGTAAAAACTGATATGTAAACAATTAATTAGGGCCCCGCCGAATGGCGGACGCCCTATATTGATCAGTCTGTTCGTCCGTCCGTAACAAATTGTGTCCGCTCTATATTTAGAGAACCGTTATGATTTCAAAGTTTATACTTGACATGTATATTAATCAACACCAGAGGGTGTGTCATAATGTATGTACAACTTCCTAGGTCAAAGGTCAAGGTAAAAAAAAATTTGGTTTTAGTTGACAACCCCATGTCCTATGGTAAAGATCGTGTCCGCTTTATATCTTGAGAACCGTTATGATTTCAAAGTTTATACTTGACATGTATATTAATCAACACCAGAGGGTGTGTCATAATGTATGTACAACTTCCTAGGTCAAAGGTCAAGGTAAAAAAAAATTTGGTTTTAGTTGACAACCCCATGTCCTATGGTAAAGATCGTGTCCGCTCTATATCTTGAGAACCGTTATGATTTCAAAGTTTATACTTGACATGTATATTAATCAACACCAGAGGGTGTGTCATAATGTATGTACAACTTCCTAGGTCAAAGGTCAAGGTAAAAAAAAATTTGGTTTTAGTTGACAACCCCATGTCCTATGGTAAAGATCGTGTCCGCTCTATATCTTGAGAACCGTTATGATTTCAAAGTTTATACTTGACATGTATATAAACCAACACCAGAGGGTGTGTCATAATTTATGTACAACTTCCTACGTCAAAGGTCAAGGTCAAAAAATTTGGTTTCAGTTGACAACCCCATGTCCAATGATAAAGATACAAATTTTTTACCACACATTATTCACAGCGAGGCCCACAGAGATGGCTCCCATCTCAATGATATCTAGTTGCTACTAATTTTCTTAAATGATAATTTATCATGTATATAATGATCTAGATCTTCTTATAGAAGTTGATGACCGCCATCTTATATGGCTAAATTAGGATAATTATAGTATTACAAAACATTAAATACTTAAAGGGAACTTTGAACCAGTGAGCAGTGCAGTATGGTACCATGTGAGGTATAACTGGAACCTGGTAGCCTCGTGTTATAAATATACTGTACAGCAAAAACTGCCTACTAGCTGAACAAAAAGGCGGTTTTATTTGGGACATATGTTACACTTCTGGTTTTAATGTGTTTTCTGTTCAAGTTTAGCTAACAGAATAACTGTGAATACAATTAAACTTCAATACACATAATACTAATTTGTTTACTCACTTAATTTGATTTTAACAGAATTATTAGTTTTAAAATAGAAATCATATTAAGGAAGCTTCATTTAACTTGCAGGTGTTTGACAGGCTTCAGACAGTGGGAGTATGCCTAAGCTATGAAAGAAGCTTACAAATTGTAGAGTTGATTGGAGGCCATTTTAATGATAAGGTTGTGAAGCTGGTAAAGAACAACATTCGTTTCAGGATAATTGGTGACAACATCAATTGGACTGTTGGTGTTCATGACCAAAGAATAAACAACAAACAGAAAATGATGCATGCCTTTGGTTCAGCAGTAATAGTTCAAAACCTGACCTTTACCAATCTAGACAGAGTTGTACCACAACAGCTATATAGTCACACACCGGTTCAAAACTTCATACCATCAGAGGAAGACTACAACCATATAACAACTGACTATATCATCCTAATGTCAAGGGTTGTTCTTGAACACATTCCCTACTTCAAAAGATTTTCAGATATTATTCCAATTAACATCAGTACACCATGCAGTCCTAACTTGAAAAAAAAGTCAGATGTTATACCGTTACCTGTTCTGTTCAAAAATGAGCAATATTATCAAGATGTTGTAGGGATACTTGACTTCTATGAGAAATGTTTGAAAGATGCTCATGATAAAGCAGGAAAACAACTCGGTGATCAAACATTTCAGATAGGAGGTGACCAGCTTACAAGAGAGAGATTCTCAGGAGCAAAGTCACTCAGAGCACACCATCTTAACCCTGCTGACAAATTCAGCCACTTGAGTCCAATAACATTTGAACTCTTCCATATGTTGATGTCTTACCTCAAAATGTCATTGAACATCACATACAGACAAGAAAGTGGTCAAGATATTGGAACATTAAAATCTCTCCAAGATAGACTTTCCAGAAAAAATATTGGTGACAATGTTAATGATCACTATGAAGCAAACAAAGACTTTTTCATTTCTGTTACTGACATGTATATTGTGGAGTGTTTCTTGGAGTTTTTTGGTATGGAAGATAAATATTCAATGCCAACTAAACATGTGCCACCAACCTTTAACACAAATGAAGAAATGAAGGAATGGTATTTCAGTACTGTGGAGATAATAGTCAAACAACATGTTTTCCTCCAAACTATAACCACTGGGGCAAAACAACAGATGCTGGTAGGTATATATATATGAGCCTGAAACATTAAAAGCAACTATTTGACCAAATAAACTTGATGTGTACATTACTATCCACCTTGATCAAAATAAACATATCCTTGAATCCTGGATCAGACACACTGATATGAAAAGCAGGTTTGGACAGGATGCAAGGATTAAATAAATTGGGTGGTGGGAGGATTTTGATTTTTACCATAAATGTTACAACTAACACTGGTCAAATTATAAACTAACTTTCAGCATGAATAAGTAAAAAATCTGATTTTTTTTAATAAATTAATTCTGACAGAATTCTAAACTTCAAAATCTGTTCTTATTGAGATTATATACTGCTACATGGAAATATGAGCACAAATGTGCAATCAAATTGTAACTTATATGATGTATATTTCTGTTTTTCATCTTACAACTAGGAATAATTTTATTGGATATACCAGACATGGGGTAATTGAAATATGTTATTGTAATTGACCGTAATTAATTACAATTTCTCAAGTAATTGTTTTGAAATAATGAATTACATTTCCAAAATTGTCTGTAATTGACAATTACTTTTCAATTACAACTCAATTACATTTAAATTTTTTTATTAGAAAGATTGAATCTTGTGTTTTCTCAAAATATGATGAAAAGCCATGACCTCAGTAAATGTAGTTAGCTGACAAAGCAAAGCCTATACAGTATACTTCTGTAATTACACAACCATGGGAGATTCTTTATTTTGTATTGATTGAACAAAAAATAAAAAAGAAGAAAAATAAAGATTTTTTAAAAGAAACATGCCATAATTTGTGTTTAAAAGAAACCAGTAGTAAGTCACTGTCTTGTACCGTAATTAGCTTTGTTACCTATATGTATATTCAGATAGATATTGAATGAATACTTTATTGCTAGACATTGATTTAACATGATCATGCAATTTTAAAGGACATAGTCAATCAACAAATATAACTTCTGGCTATTTGTTTTATTATAAATTATATAATGACTGTTTTCACAACAGTTAAGTTTGCATGTTAAACAGGTGTTAAGACAATTGGAGATAGATAAATATACCCCTATAGCTAGGTACATGAAGTTTTTTAAATCAATTGTGATTAAAAGTAAAGTATATTTTAAAAAAAAGTCAGGCTTTCTAAATCAAGTTTTGATCAATATAAAAAATCATTTCATAATATTAAAATTAGGGCCCGCTTTTTGTATCATTTTCAATGAAATACATTAAAATATAAATTTCAATACTGGTAATTATAACAAAATTTAATATTTTCAAAATATTAAATAAGGCTTTTTATCATTTTGAGCATTAGATTAAACCTGACCTCTATCCCTTACGATTCCGGATGGACAAAGTATTATGTGCACTTTAGATTTATGTATGTTTTTTTTTCTTTTTTTGCCGTAACACACCAGATATCTAACTTTTATTATTCTTTGATACTGGCTGAATTAGAAAATAGTTGCTGAAGATCTCATTTGTTATTACTATTAAGCAATGTATGATACTTATGTACATATCATAGAAGTCTGAATAAATGCATGTTTTCAATATTTTAAATTTTCCTTTCAAAAGTAATTGAAGTAATTAATTACATTTGACAAGTAATTGGAAAGTAATTAATTACATTGGTAAAAAAAGTCAAATGTAATGTGTAATTTAATTGAAGATTTTGTAATTGTAATTGAATGTAATTAATTACTTTCAAAAGTAATTGACCCCATGTCTGGGATATACATGTATTAGCAGTTTGACAAACACTAATTTTGGTCTTTCAGAAGCTTGGAGAGTTAACTCCTTATGGTTTTATTTATACCATTTGCTGCACATATTATTTAATGTACACTTTTACAGTATATCATAACCACATCACAGCTTAATGCTTCTTCTGAACATTTGAAGGTCCCTACTATGTATTGGTTACCTAAATTACACAAAAAACCAGTAAAATATCATTCCATCTCGCCCTCTAGTAAGTGTTCTACAACTAATCTTTCAGTGCTTTTAACAAGTTCCTTGACTACTATCAAAGAGCTTATCATAAACTATTGTAATAAAATATATGAAAGTAGTGGAATTAACTATTTTTGGAGTGTAAAAAATTCTTTGGATGTTTTAGATAAATTACGTTCTATTGATTGTCCTTTTGATTCTGTTGACGGTTTTGACTTTTCTACTCTTTACACTAAACTTCCACACAATCTTATCAAAAAAAAATTTGACTATTTAAATAAATGGTCGTTTGGTAAATCTGAATGCAAATATATTTGATGCAACTCATTTAAAGCCTTCTTCTCTAATGAGAAAGGTAAATATGCTAGACATACTTACTGGAGGTGTGATGAGATGATTGAAGCTGTTAATTTTCTCTTTGATAATATTTATGCACGTTTCGGCAGCTAAGTTTATCGACAGGTTGTAGGTATTCCTATGGGCACAAATTGCGCCCCTTTAATAGCAGACTTGTTTTTGTACTGTTATGAATCACAGTTTATGACCAAACTCAGTAAAGACCCGTCTAAATTGCATTTAATTGATAAATTCAACAACACTTACCGTTATCTTGATGATATTTTTTCGTTAAATAATCAAGAATTTTCTCAATATACTGCCGAAATTTACCCAAAGGAACTTACTTTAAATAGATCAAATTTAAATGGTAACAACTGTCCTTTCCTAGATTTAGATATTTCGGTTTTACACGGGAAACTCCACACTTAGATTTATGACAAAAGGGACGATTTTTCGTTCCCTATTGTTAATTTTCCCTTTTTGGATGGTGATGTTCCTTTGGCACCATCTTACGGTGTTTATATTTCATAAATCGTTCGCTATGCCCATGTCTGTTGTGACGTTTTTGATTTTAACAAATGTAATCTATGTATTACTGGTAAATTATTAAGCCAGGGATTTCGTTACCACAAATTACTTAAAACCTTTACTTTATTCTTCCACAGATATAAATATTTGGTTTTGAAGTTTGGTTGTACCTGTAGAAAACTTATTTCAAACGGGATTGCACATCCTCATTTTTACGGCAATATTGTTTACCGTGCCCGGAAATTTATAAACGATCCTGGTAAACTTATCGATCCTTTAAATAAACTTTTCTAAAAGGTTACCAATTCAACACTGTAATTAGATCATTAAATATTGTTTTTATTGGTACTAATATTGATTTTGTTATCAGTAAATTAAAAGCAAACTAAATATTATTGTTATATACATATACACATTCATGGATCTACAATCTGTCGATACCTGTATCTTGGCATTGCACAAGGTCATGTTTTTCTCTGACTGTTTATGACGTCTTTACACTAAATCCATTGGATGTTGGATGTGTACGGATTGATAATTTAGTCTTAGATGCATGATTTTTTTTATTAGTTGTTAGTGGCTTTGAACTAGCTGTCAGTAACTGTGAGTACTCTCAGATCTGTACTTAGTGTCTTTTTGTTGTTGGGATGTACAAGTACCCGGCCACGTCCACTTGTATTTGTAGTATTTGTATTCTTATCCATCTGATGAGTTAAGCCTCTTTCAACTTATTTTTATAGTTCGTTCTTATGTTGTACTGTTACACCACTGTCCCAGGTGAGGTTGGAATCCCGCTAACATGTTTAACCCGGCCACATTCTTTATGTATGTGCCTGTCCCAAGTCAGGAGCCTGTAATTCAGTGGTTGTCGTTTGTTTATGTATTACATATTTGTTTTTCGTTCATTTTTTGTACATAAATTAGGCCGTTAGTTTTCTTGTTTGAATTGTTTTACATTGTCATTTCGGGGCTTTTTATAGCTGACTGTGTGGTATGGGCTTTGCTCATTGTTGAAGGCCGTACGGTTACCTATAATTGTTAATTTCTGTGTCATTTGGTCTCTTGTGGAGAGTTGTCTCATTGGCATTCATACCACATTTTCTGTTTTATATTAAACAACAAACAAGACATGCATTCAAATCTTAAATGCAAAATGATTGGATAGTAATTTTTTTCAAATATGATTGTGATATTGATTTAAAATATGTATCTAATTTTGAAAACTATTTCTTTACAGTTGATGGTCAGTGTTTCCGATTAGTTTTGGAAAATGGGAAAACCATCACACTCATGAAGAAGACAATATCAAAGTCAAAGAAAGGTGATAAAATTAGTAATTATGGAAATCAAATACTCCAGCTAGGATTGCTGTTTAAAGACTTGATAGATATGATACATATGCCAGAAAGAGTAAGAGGGATACGCTTGTTAAAACTTGCTATGATGTATTTCAAAGTCCATAACAATCTATCTAAGTACGCCTTAGAAATACTCAGACTTCTGGTACATCAACTATGTACTTTGTCTGAGAAAGGCTCCAATGAGGAATTCTACTCCATGTTTGTAAATACAGGAGGCAAATTTGACACGCATATTCCTGCTGACCGAAGGATGGAATACCTTGTCAAAGAAGTAAAAGAACATGTTAAACATATGTACTCCAACAAAACTGAAGAGAACATTTCAAACCGTACCAGGGCAATATCTGGAATTCACGAAATTTCAGAAAATTTTGACAAACAGTCAGGGGTAATTATACGTTCCAAAAAACATTCCGACAAATCGTCTAAGGCAGATGAACTGGCAATTCTGTCAGATTTACGAGATATAAGACCTTTTCATTGTCAACCTGGTAGGAAACATTCATCTTTTGGAGAAATTTCATCATCTGTTGTTCAAAACCTTGATGTCGACCATTATCACAATTGGATCAATACCAGAAAAGTTAAATTTGCTTTGGAAAATGGGAACTAAACATTGACATAATATAATGACTATCAAGTCTGTACTTTGTGTCTTTTTTGTTGTGAGGGATGTATAAATTCCTTTGCCAGGTCCAGTTTGTTTTTTGTTACTTGTTTTTTTTTTGTATTGATCTGATGAGTGAAGATATTTCATCTGATTTTTGTAGATTGTTGTTATGTTGTATTTGATAATTACACCATTTTATGCCTGTCCCATGTCCTGAGCCTGATGTCGTTGGTTGATGTCTCTCATATTTGTTTTTTTTAATTGTTTTGATATAAATATATAAGGCAGTTAGTTTTCTCAATTTAATTTTTTCCATTTTTAAGTGGGACCTTTTATAGCGGACTATAAGGTATGGGTTTATCTCATTGTTGAAGGCTATATATATGGTTGCATTGCCTATAATTGCTTACATCTACTTCTTTTGAACTTTGGTGGAGAGTTGTCTCATTGGCAATCTTACCAATTCTCCATATTTTTATGATAGGTATTCTTAATTAAAAACTGCTATAGCTTTTGTCCAATCCATCATTATTTTTTCAAATATATTCCACCTTTGGTTTGTGGTGATATTTGATATATAACAGTCCACAGTAGAGGTTTTTTTTAAAAGCTGGTTTCTGGTACATGTAAAATCAATGGAATTAACATACAATATGCAACTTCTTATAATCTATAAATATTTTCAACTTTTTAATTAGTTACATGAAATATTTTTACATACTATAAAAGAAAATGCATGATCAGTTACTCTGTTTCCTTTATTTTTCAAATTTACAATTAGCATATGCAATGTACAGAATATTGGTTCTTTTCATTGCTGTTTCATAGACCAGGAACTGGTTATTCCATTTTTGGCAATATACTCTTATTTGGAATTAAAATATTTACTTTCCTGCATAATTGGAGTTATCTCCCATTGTTTTAACAACTATTTGTGAACAAAGTAAGAGGTACATTTTATTTTTACAGTCAAACAATTTAATCAAAATGTTGCAAATAAGGTGTTCTTTAATATTTAAGCAGTAAGTCCAAAGTTTGTTCACTTCTGAAAATCATAATAAGATAGGTCCATTTTCTTGTTGTTGCTTTTTTTCATAAATATTTTTTTAAAACTGAAATGGCCCAGTCAATGCATTTTAACTGCTCAAAAAGCACAGAATTTTGTTCACTGACTTAATTGATAAATATGTAGTGTAAAATTGGGTTAATTTTATTCAATATTTGTACAATGAGTAAAATGTTACTCAAATAATGCTGCTTTAGGTGTACATAAGGACATAACCCCTGAATGTCCCCTTCACATTTAATGTCTTTGTAGTACAAAACAATTTTGTCACACAAATTTTGGGTCAATCCTGACACAAGCTGTTGGTTTAACATGTTTATTTGATCATTTTCTGCCTTAAAATAAGATTCCAGCATTTCCTTTAATTGTTTACAATCAGGTTCATCAGCACATTGACAATTATCTATAACTTCACACTTTTCAACTTCACTTACAAGACAATAATCACATTCACAATCTTTTTCACATACATCACAGCAGTTATGCTTTAACATTGAATCTAAATCTGCTTCTGTTTCAAAATACTGGCTCAGAAATTTTCTTCTGCATGTTTTAAGGAGGCAGAATTCTCTCACTTCTGGTTGTACAATGGTGTTGGTGGCAATATCACTCATATTATAATGCATAAATGCACTGCTTTGTCGACCATCTCTACCAGCTCTTCCAATTTCTTGTAGATAACCTAAATGAGTAAACAATTATTGTATTTGTAAAATCATTCCCTTTCAGTTTTCAAATGTTTTGTTCTGACATGAAAAAAAACAAAAAAACGTATTACATATTACAAATCTTTGAACTGCAATTTTGTTTTGAGGAGCTAGTGGTGCAATTAGTCATTGTGAAATTGTTTTCCTCATGATCATTTTTTTTCATCTTGTGTGAAAGTCTCATTTTTTTTTTAATGTTGGTGTATCACCATTAGAAGAGGTGACCAACATATAGCATTGACCTTTGACCTCATGGTGAAATTATTGATTTTTGTATTGTACATACTTGTAACCCCTATAACTTTTCATCTTTTACAAAGTGTTATGATATTTGGAATGTAGGTATATCACAACAGGATGATGTGTAGGGTACCATCATAACTTATATGTGAGCTTGATTTTTGACCTCAAGGTCAAATTATTGCTTCTTTTTTGTTTTTGTCAAAGATGTGTTATCTGGAACCAAACTTTTTGTACTTTGCACAAGTCTTATGATATGAGTGTTATTTATAACAATGGGCTTACCCTAATCTTTTACTTAAATGTTAAGGTAAAATAATTTAATTTTTATCAGTGATATGTTGTTCAAAGTCAAAATGTCTTGTGCTGGGCTTATTAAATTTGATGGTGTACAATGCAGATTTTCAAAAAAATGAAGGGGAGACATATATAATCGTTGTAACTCAAATTTATTGAAAGAAGCCTTTATATGTAACAAAAATATGCATGAAAATGACACTATGACTGAATTATTGGTACTACTCTGTTAAATTTATTGTAGAAAAGCTTGAATTAATAGAAACATATTTATTATTCAATTAATAGATTAAAACAACTTATTATGAAAAAGTTAAAAGACATTGTTTTTGAAAGCATGCTACACTGATGATGATAATGTTACTGGAAAGCTGGATACATATTTTTCTCATAAAAGTAATTTCAAAATGGAAAAATATCTTGATATTCAAAGTTTTGAATTAGGACAAATATTAATAAATATGTAAATTTTGCATATGCATATGTGCCCATCAATTACGAGTGGAAAAATAGCACTCTACAAACAAACCTATAGATAGGTCACAGAGGACTTGTAATTTTTGTTCTCATAATGATATAGAAGATGAGTTTCATTTTTGAAATAACTGTCCATTATATGATAACTTTTGAGAATTATTGTTTACACAAGCTCATGAGCACTATCAAAATTTTAATAACTTAGACTGCAAATCAAAATGTTTATGGTTAATGACCACGGAAGATAAATATATACTTGAAAAGTTATATTTTTTATGTAATTTTCTTATCCAGCATTTTGAATTGAGTTCCAAAAATTATACAAATGGCTAAATCTCTTTTAGTTTATCTATATATATTTTAAAATAAAAAAAAATAAAATAAAATACACATTACTCTGTTTATTGTGTATGCATATTTCATGTATATATATTTTTATATATATATTATGTTAATTCCTAATATATGTGTTAGACTGCAGTCAAACTTGTAAAGGTGCTTATCCAATTCTTGCAATTTAAATATTATATACATAGATATTTAGTTATTTGTTGCTGTGTGTACATGGGAGAAAACTACCCTTATATTTAATCAGTTGGGGCTTCTTTTTTTATCCAACGCTGAACACCATATCTTTAAAAATTATTAGATACTGTTTAAAGGGGAATAATCCTTACATATTTATTGATTGTCTCCCATATTAACTTTCTCTTCTATGTATTCAGTGATTTTTATGCTGTATTTTATTTTATTATTATTTCATTGTCATATAATTTAATTTTGGATGTAACACGTCTTCCGATTGGCTGACATTGTTTTGTTTATCAGTTTATAGACATAATTTTGTCATGTGACCTTGACGTCATAAACGTTTTTTCATGATTTACTCCGGTTTAAAATGGAATTAAGAATTAAATTATAAGAAATGACTGTAATATATTTTCTGTCTATTCGAAATAACATAAAAAAAGTGGTGCACACTTTAAAATAACCTGCTACACGGGTTATTCAGTGTGCACCACATTTTTGATGTTATTTCTTCATAGACAGAAAAAATATTACAGTCATTCCTTAATTATAACAAAAATTATTGTTATCATTGTATGAAATTTAAAACCCACAAGGGTCCATAACTGGAATAATGAAGTATTTCTGTTTCTATAACCCATAGTATAATATGTAATATAGCCATAATACTTGCATTCTAATGAACTTGGTGGTCCAATGTGACAAACCCTTTCAACATCTGGGGCATCAGTTCCCATACCCATAGGCTTGAGTTGCAAAAAGCAACTTTATGGATCCATTTGTATCTGCCATGTTCTGTGCTATATTTTTTTTCATCTAAAATTATATCATTAATTACAAATGCAAATGATTTATAATGTTTTCATTTTTATACGACTGCAAAAAAATTTTTGTGGTCGTATATTGGTATGACGTTGGCGTCGTCGTCGTCGTCGTCGTTGTCGTCGGCGTCGTCTGGCGTCGTCCGGCGTCGTCCGAAGACACATTGGTTTTCGCACTCTAACTTTAGTTTAAGTGAATGGATCTCTTTGAAATTTTACCACAAGGTTCAATACCACAAAAGGAAGGTTGGGATTGATTTTGGGGGTTATGGTACCAACAGTAAAGGAATTAGGGGCCAAAAAGGGGCCAAAATAAGCATTTTTGTAACTTCCAGACATAACTTGTGTGTTAGTGTATGGATCTCTCTGACATTGTACCACAAGGTTCCATATCACAAAAGGAATGCTGGGATTGATTTTGGGGGTAATTGCCTCAAAATATTAGGAATTAGGGGCCAAAAAAGGGGCAAAAAAACAAGCATTTTTCTAGTTTCATGACAATAACTTGTGTGTAAGTGCATGGATCTTTCTGAAATTGTACTACAAGGTTCCATATCACAAAGGAAAAGCTGGAATTGAGCTTAGGGGTAATTGCTGAAACGTTTAGGAATTGGGGGCCAAAAAGGGGCCAAAAATAAGCATTTTTCTAGTTTTCAGACAATAACTTGTGTTCAAGTGTATGGATCTCTCTGAAATTGTACTGCAAGGTACCATACCACAAAGGGAAGGCTGGGATTGATGATGGGGGTAATTGCCTCAATATTTTAGGAATTAGGGGCCAAAAAGAGGCAAAAAACAAGCATTTTTCTAGTTTCAGGACAATAACTTGTGTGTAAGTGTATGGATCTTTCTGATATTGTACTACAAGGTTCCATATCATGCATATCACAAAGGGAAAGCTGGGTTTGAGTTTGGGGGTAATTGCCCTAATTGTTTAGGAATTTGGGGCCAAAAAGGGGCCAAAAAACACATTTTCTAGTTTCCAGACAATAACTTGTGTTCAAGTGTATGGATCTCTCTGAAATTGTACTGCAAGGTACCATACCACAAAGGGAAGGCTGGGAATGAGTTTTGGGGTGATGAATCATAAGGGGGTTCAAAAAATTTGGGGGGGGGGGATTTTTTTTTTTTTCATTTTTTTTCTTTTTTTCCTTTTTTTTTCTTTTAAAATTTTCCATTTTAAGTTGGTTATTTCTGATTTATATTTAAAAGCAAATAATAATGATATGGTAGGAGATACACACCAAACAAGATGTGTTAATTATTATATAATAAGTATTGTGCAATAGCAAGAAATTTTCAATTGCACAGTATTGCACAATAGCAAGAAATCTTCAATTGCACAGTATTGTGCAATAGCAAGAAATCTTCAGTTGCACAGTATTGCGCAATAGCAAGAAATATCCAATAGCACAATATGCGCAATAGCAAGAAATTGTCAATTGTACAGTATTGCGCAATAGCAAGAAATATTTAATTGCACAGTATTTTGCAAAAGAAGATACTTCGTATAAATTGCTTATTTCTTGACCAATTTCAATGGGGTTTTATTCTTGAATTCTTGGGGTTCTTTAATATGCTGAATCTAACCGTGTATTTAGTTTTTGGATTTTGGGCCCCGTTTTTAAATTGGTCCACATTGAGGTCCAAAGGGTCCAAAATTAAACTTTGTTTGATTTCATCAAAAATTGAATTATTGGGGTTCTTTGATATGCCGAATCTAACCTTGTATTTAGATTCTTAATTTTTGGTTCCGTTTTCAAATTGGTCTACATTAAGGTCCAAAGGGTCCAAAATTAAACTTAGTTTGATTTTAACA